CATATACGAGAATATTTCTTTAAGATCATAATCTTCCTCACTGCATAGTATCAGTTTTGCTATCCAAATATTATTTCTTTCATTATAATACAACTCAGTTATTCGAAATATTGAACCCAGCATTATCAGTACTTCATTTTCTTCCTCATAATAACTTAAATGTTCTATATTGGCAAATGGTTTTGTTAACAACCGTGTGTCAGCCTCCATTTCAAAAAGAATTCTTTCAACATCATTATTAACAGTAACTTGTTTTGCAAATTTAACAGCCGTCTTTCGACTAAATGTGGTAGACAAGAAATTATTCATAGTAATAAACTGTTCCGCGTTAGACTTCATCAAATTTAGCTCCGCGGTGGATATAGCTTGACCACGATATATTCGAAGAACTGGTTGATTATTATTTGACGTGCGTATGAGACGATTATGTTCTTTCTTCAACTGTTTAGCAAGGTCACTAATAAGAACTCGTAATGAAAATATAATATCAAAATCTTGTTCACGCAAAGCTTTGTTGAGAAGACGGTATAAACATGACTCACGAGTATACCACCAGATAGCCTTTTCTGGATCATATTCATCTTCAAACTCTTTCAAAACACGTTCTTCTTATACGTTTTGTGTACAGGCGTTTTTACACACGTCAATGAGTTCACCTTTCGCATCCGATTTATGATGCATACGACATAGAACTTCAACAAACAGTTGAAGCCACATAAACATGGCAATATGAGATTGACGATCACGTGAAATATTAGATGCATCATCACGACTGAATATACTTATGGTGATAGTATCATTGATCTTATGCCGTATCTTGTGATCTTCTAATAGATCGATCATCAGTATTCTCGAATCAATGTAAACACCTCGAACCTAAAACCGAATCCAATCCGAAAATGTTTTAATGGCGCTGCCTGACTTACTTTGGGGTAATTGTCTGCCCATCTTTTGTGAGCCTTATCTCCACAATAAACGTATACATCATTGAGTTGCGTCAAGTCTTGTAAACGAGGAACAATATCACTACCATATGCTCCCGATACGATAAGAATGACTTTTTCATCTTTTGCTTGTCGAATATGTTTTTCACACTCGTCTATTCGATCAAATGTGAGAAAATGCCTATTGATAGAACGAAATTGTACCGCTGTTTCAATATTGTGAGCTGTTTTGTTGACATCAGCATCCAACCACAACAACAGATAGGTTTCCAAATTGGAGGCTGGAAGTTCAGAAAGTAATACTGATGATTGCGCTGCTATAGCTGTGGGTGTTTTATTGGGCGACGGTTTCTTTACAGTCTGAGTTGTTGACTGTATAGTTTTACTGGTCATTTGTTAATATTCTTAGTTTTTCATATTCTGAAAAAGAGTCTTTCTTATGTTAATGATCCTTCGGTGTCTTCTATCGTAAAATTTATACCGAATGTTCATCTATATCACATCCATTCTCACGCAAGCTCTATGTTTTCGGTTACCATTTACTATTTTGTTTGCCATACTTATTTACTTCTCTGATCTCATGTTGCAACTTTCTTTTATTCCAGATTTGATCTGTTTATGCTAAGCTTCTCTTTTCATTACACACATTCAGCACTAATAACAAAAGGAACGAATGATGTAATGGGTCTGTCCCTTTCCTTTTGTTCGGTATAAAAAAGTTTTTTCGAAAAGCAAAAAAAATGTATATTATTATATATTCTTTCAATGGTTGTAAACAGAAAAACACATTTTTTATTTTAAGCACATAAAAAGCCCATTCAAAGCTCTATCAGTTGTTTCATCAATGAATCAACACAAGACTATAAATACACAAAATAAAATTTTTCAAGTATCTACACGTAAGATTCTAAAAAAGAAAAAGTTAATAAATCAATTCAAAATAAAACAAAATTCTGCAAAAGTATCTGGTATACCTCTAGTTTTCGCTTATCACAGGGCATATCAAAATTTGATGTTTTTTTTCTAGAGAAAAGGCCTTCAGGATTTTTACATATTCGGAATCAGCACGACGAGTTACGTTGTACGGCGCAAAGATCTCGTCGGGGTACCCGCGTTTTTT